ACACCAGTGAATTAGGATTTGAGTACCCTAGAGAGAATATAAAATAAAAAATAAAATAAAAGATGGGTTTGGCTCAAAATAAAAGATGGGTTGGGTTCCAGATAAAAAGGAGAAAACTCCATTCTTGGACTATGTCGGTGGTTCTTAACGTTGGTTGCCAACTGCAGTCACCTGAGGGTCTGTTAAAATTCCTGAGGCCTGAGTCTCATCCCTAGGGATTCTGATTTCATTTGTTTGGGATGACGCTTGGCCACTGGGGCTTTTTTTTTTAAACTTCTGATGTGCACCCAAGGTTGGGAACCATTGGGTTAGAGGGTGGAAGAATGGAGTGACCTTGGAAGTCATAGGAGGAAACTTGGAGGGAAGAGGAAGGGCCTGGAACAGCCTAAGTAATTAGAGAAGTTCGTACCGCAGGGCCTTCTGCGACCCCATCCTCCAGGCTGCCATAAACACTGTGAAGGGAAGAGCGAGAAAGAGAAGGAAATAGGGAAAGGCTGGGATTTCAGGACGGTGACGTGGAACTGGGTCACGGAACCTTCTGTTTGGGGGCTGCTGTTGATCTCGGTTACAACAATAGCTGTGACGCAGCGACTCCCCGGTGAGGCTGGTACAGGAAGCAGAGAACATGTAAATGGCGTCTCTTGTGGGAGTTTTTTCCTTCTCGCTCCCTTCTGGGCCTCTCTGCACAGGGTATGCTGTGCCTAACATCTTTTTTCCCTTGCATTCTGCATTTTCCAGGCATGGGAAGGAAGGCAAAGAGAAGGCTTCCTCTGACCGGGAAGTATCTGGCAGAATCTGGTATAATCTGGCCTATGGTCTGCGGAGTGGGTACTCTGGAGCTGCATTTTCCCCAGTGCGTTCCTTAGACACTGGCTCCTCCGGTGTCCTTCCCTGGGGCCACATAAGCTCGGGAAAGGCAGCGAGCCTCAGCGCCCTCACTGACATTCGCAGTGCGCGGTAGTCATGCTCTGAGACCTCCCGCAGAAGGAAACCTGTTTTGTTTTGTTTTGTTTTGTTTTGTTTTGTTAACCCTCCTGTCCCTAACTCATCTGGCCGTGGAATTGTGTTTTTTTGTTTTTGTTTTTTTTTTCTCCTTAGCACATTAACATCTTGCCTCTTTCTCATACACACTTTTGGGAAACTGCCCCAGGAACCACAATCAGTGGCTTCATTCACAAGGGACAAAGAAGGCAGCTGCATCCTGCACTCGCGAAACGGGGCAAGAACCCCAGTTGGGCCCTGGCCTCTCACTGTAACTGTGTTCTTCTTCCACCCCTTCTGCGGCTTCTTCCCGGTTGCCATGGCTACGCCCCTGGAGAGTCAGGACCAGGCCTTCTCTTTCTTCCCCACCACCCCTCCTACCCACCCCTTTTGTGTTTCCAAGGGCGCTGAACACGGAGTAGGTGATGTTTTGAAACACTGATTGATTGAGAGTTTGGGATTTCATCTGGGCCATCTGCAGGTGAGCTGGGAAGGAGAAGAAGGCAGTGCCGAGGATTTGCTTCTATAGATCCGGTAGAAGTGCGGGGCTAGAGGGTGGGAGAGGGCAGGTCTGGGAGCTCACACAACCTCGGCGTTGCCTTTAAAAAAAAACAAAAAAAACACGCTATGATCACAAATATTTCACCAATTAGGAGTGGCAAAGGGCACAATGGAAAAAGAAAACATTTTGGTTTCTTGGTATGTTTGGTTCAGGGGTGAATTTTTCTTTCAGTAATATTTCTGGTCATGTTTCTTGCTAGGATGTTGTTTTTGTAATAAGTAATTTTCTTTTAAGTTTGAGAAGAAAAGAATGTCCTACTTTCTCCTCTGTCTTTCACTGGCAATCATGTGTTCAAAGCCCCAAACCAGACACATGGCCTGATGCACAGCCTGACAGGGTATTTGAAATAGGGGCTCTGATGAGACAGAGTGGTTGAAATGAAGGTGCCCGTTTGAGAAAATTTGGTCTCCTGGCTGCTGACATTAAGTAGGGTCATTTCTAAATTATAGAGACAGTGAAGCCCATTTTGGTATCCATTGATGAAAACTGGGTGTCCATGTATTTTCTAAATTGATATCCACATTAAAAAGAATCTATTTATTGCTACAATGTCAAGAGCGGCCTTCTCAGAGGGGTGGGGGGAATAGAAATTCTATTCAGTGCCTAAGTGCATGAAAGACCTGGTTATTTCTAGTCTGCTCTCTACCCAAGGCCAGGCTTGGGTGTTTTATGAATGAAAGGTTTGTGGACATCTGTTTCATGCAAACCAAGTGCCTGGGAAAACCTCACACTACTGGTTCTGTCTCCCAGACGGCTGAGAAGGCTTCCCAGGGTCTGAAAGTATCAATTCTTAAGGCGTGAGCACCAGCGGAGGATTATAATTTAAATCAGCTGGTTCTTAATTTCTTAAGTGTGGAAAAAAAGTGGGTGATTAGGAGGATGGGCGTGTGTGTGTGTGTGTGTGTGTGTGTGTGATGGGTTAACATTTGTGGAGTATCTGCTATGTGCTGAGAATGTTATATATCTATAGTATACATAAACTGATATCTATCTCTCTATAGATTTGTATCTGAAAGACATGTATACTTATATAACTAGTATTTATATATCTGGTATATGTATAATGGCTATATACATATAAATTGATATAACTGTGTATCACTTTCAGATATATATCTGAACCTCTGTCAATATATATCCATATATCTGACTATATATCAATATGTATCAATATATGTCTATATATCTATATCTGTCTATATACATGACTTTATTTTATTTTTACAGCTTTGTTTGATACTGATAAGGAGAAAAGGAGCTAGAGGTCAAAATTGGGCAGATAAATAGGCTTGCCCAGGGTCACACAGTGGAGCCTTATTCTCAGCTCAGGTCTGTCTGACTCCAAAGTATTCTTTCTGCTGGACGTTTTTTTTTTTTTTTTTTTTTT